CTGAGATGTGGCCTTTCCCCATGGACTGCCATCCTTCAGGAAAAAAAAATGTGCTCCAGCATGCACTGTGTGTTGGTCACAGTTCCTTCAGGAAACATCCACCTACTCCAGTTTGCGGTCTTCCATAGCCTGCTGAGTGGGGGATATCAGCTCGAGTGCCTGGGGCACCTCATTCTGCTCTTCCTCTGACCATGGTGTTCCCTCTGCTGTGTCTCACCCTTTTTGGTCCCTTGTCTCTGTGCAGCCTTAACTGCCCTTTCTTAGAAGTGTTTTCCCTGATGCATTCCACCCACAGCTCAGTTGCTCCCTGCAGATGGTCTGCTGGAGCTGGCTGTGTCCAGCATGAGGCAGCCCCATACCTCTTCCCAGAGATGTCAACCAGCCTTGTTACGTATATCCAGTACGCTCAAGAAGGGGTTTGTTTACCAGAAAATGAACAAGTGTAAAATGACAAATCCTATTTGAAGTAAAGGTTGATCACATTTTGCCAGTGTTAGGCATGAGACATTTCAAATCAATTTTTAGTCCCATCCTACCTTGAAGTATCTATTTATGGCACATATGTAGCCCTGCTGATAATTTAGTTTGAGCATCTCCTAATCTTTCAATGCATAAAACCTCAAAACTGCTTTACAAAGTAAATGTGCAGGCACTATCACACACTTGTACTGATAAGATACAATGAAGGACTAATAATACCAATGGGTCTTCGTGTTTCTGTAAGATGCCTGCAGAATTGTGTCATCTTTCCATTTCAAAGAAATTGCTGGGCTGTAAAAATGAGGTTGGTTTTGGTTGAACTGCAGTTTTTCTTAAGCACACTATTATAATGCTCAATGTTCATCAGTAACTGGGATTGAAGGATGACTTCTTGTACAAACAGATTAATATTGCACCTTCCCTTCACACTTTATAGTATCACATGCTAATGTCAAGGATGACTAATGTTTAATTATTTTAATTAAACCAAGTCCAAATGACAAAAGTGACTTGGAAAAGAAAAAAATAATTTAACAAAGAATGCTGTGTACATCACTCCTGCATTGATTGGAGAAGTTTTTATCTAGACCAGCTTTTATACTTTTATAAGCACATAATAGAGGTGTATGTAGACAAAGCAATAGACAGTGGAGACTAGGTGGCTAAGAGGCAGAACTTGCTCTTTCACATCACATAGCATTGACATCTTGTGCTCTTACCTTCTTCATAGAATTTTACTACATTTAATGTACTGGAAGTTAAGAGCATTGAAAAGAATTTACTGACTTCCCTATGTTATTGTTTGTCATTTTTGTGCTTTCTCTGAAGCAAAGTCGTTTAGGTTCAGATTGAAGCAGTGTGTTTAAGCAGGAAGAAGGAGCATATGATTGTGATTAATGAGTTCATGTACATCTGGGACAGTGCTGAGAAACATGAACACACTAAGACTGACTGAAGAACATCTTGGCTTAGGTGCCAAGAGAGTAATTTTTAAAGGGCAGAGGGAGGAGTCCCCTTGGTCTATAAAATACTGAGCGCCAACATAACTGTTAAGCATTATTGTTGTCCACCAGGTTAACTGTGCCTGTCTTGTTACTCTTCTAACAACAGGGAGTTTGACAGCTCTGGTGTATCAGCATTCCATCACTCCACTGGCATTGCCTTGCAAGCTTCTCATCCCAGACAGAGGTATGCTTGTTAAGTTCAGAAGAGATACACTCAGCCAAGCTCTGCTTCAAAATACCAGTGTCTGAAAGCAGGTGAACATGTCACAAGTCAAGATCTAAGCCAGAATGCCCAGGGAGGAAGTTGTTTTAAAAGTGGTTCTTCAGTACTGCTGGCAGCTCTTATCCAACCTGTAGCTGTGAGCAAACTAGGACTGTGATATTCCAGTCATAAACGTATATGCGTTATGGAAATCTGCACAATAATCTAGCATGTAAGAAAAATGTACTTCTCAGACATGAAATTATGCCCATGTATGGTTAGGTGTAACCACTCATTTAGGTCTGGGTGGCAAAAGGACTTTAGGTAAGACAGGTAGGTAAAGAACAGAAGGTGCCCCAAGTATGACAGTGACAGGAAGGAAGCAGCAACTTACACAGGTCCGAGTATTGTTTAAGTTAATGATCAAAAAGCCTGTGTTGCATCATGGGTCTGTAATTCTAATTTTGCTTATGATGATTTCATAAATCTAAGAGAACTGCAAAATGTAGCTATGCTTGTCCCATAATTCAGTTGTCTGTTACTCTCCCACATGAATTTAACAGCAGGTGTATTATTGAAATGTTAAACATTCTTCTGTTACTCTTCTTACTGAACTCAAATTTCTGTTAAAGTTCATATGTCAGTATTCAAACATAGCATTTGAACTACGCAGAAACATTAATTAAAATCATTTTAGCACAAAAACATGCTATTGTAGTTGTGACTAGAGATTTCTCGATATGGCAGTGTGGTAGGTGGGCTTGTTACCCTAATCCTCACCTCAAATAGAAAGGTCCTTCTGTTCTGGCAGAGGTGCAGGTCCAAAACATTTGCCTCATGAATAAGCATACCACATTGAAATTTTGGTTTGGATTTATTTTTTAATCCATTATGATCATGCATTTTAACATTATCTTCTGTGGTTAATGATTTTGGACACAGTGAGTAGAATATTTAAAGCACATGGATAACTTTAAACATGAATAATGTCTTACACACCCTGCTGTCTTCCTCACTTGAATGTATTCAAATACAGCATGCATCATGTTAAATACAGCAGAAAATGAGATCTTTTAACATGCATTTATATAACTAAAATAACATACTGATGGACAGTTTTCTCACTAATTTTAAGGGAAGATTGTGAGGCAAACATTCTACTGCTGTCTTCATCTGTTCAGATGCTTGTTTTCTACATAAGTATGAAGAAAGAAGGATTATATTGTCATCTTCTGAATGAAAGTAGAATCAATTGATTTTTTTGTAGAAATACAAAATCTTTGTGACTAAATTAGTGTAAGTTATACAAATTAAATGAGGTATTAAGAACTGCACTATTTTAATGAGGCAGTACATCTATTGGTCTTGTTCTAATGTGACACTGTGTGTCTCCCTGCAGTGTATGCTATGTACTTACGCCTTTTATTGGCAGGGAATAGAAGTTGAACATCCCTTCTGCAGCACTAGTGTCAAAAAAACTAATACAACACAAAAGCCACATGAATTATTAGAGTTGCGGATACAAGATTGTTTCATGTTTCTGGCCAGAGTTGTCCAGTAGTTGAGGTCCTAAAACCTAAAGTCATATTATTGATTTGTGCATTCAAGTCAAAATGAGACATGGACAGTGAGAAAACACTTTTTTCTGTTTGCAGATCCTTTGGAGGAGATAGCAGAAACTTCTCCACAAACTGCTGCCAACTCAGCAGTGGAGCTTCTCAAGCAGGGTGCAGGTCTGTTAAAGTTCTTCCTTGCATTTGACTGTCAACAAATTTTGTATCTAACAGGCTGAAACAAGAACAAGCTTAAGCTTAGACTGGAGTGAAGAATGTTCAAAAGTGAGCAGTTAAATTTAGGGTGCTGCATGGAAGTGTAAAGAGCACCGTGAGAGGATATGTACTAAGTTCTTACTGTTTTCTGCAACCAGCTCCTAAGTTCAACAACCCTATGTTTGCTTTCCAGTTGTGTGTCCCATAAGAATATGAGATACAAATAGATTTGTTCAAACAAAGCAATTTTTAAGCGGTGACTTTCCTTTCATAACTGATGAACTTGGAGAACATGTATTCAACCTGCAGTTGAAGAAGTTAATGAAATATGCCTGAGGTCTGCAAAAGGCAACTGAGGAAAGTGTTCAGTAGTGTGAAATTCTCAGCATAAGGGTTGACCACTGGAAAATGCTTACTGTCTCATCAATCTGACAAAAAGAGGTATGAAGAAACATTGCCCTGTGCTTCAGTTGATGCTGCATGTTATTAGGAAATGCCCAGTGTCTTTTCCATTGAATGTCGTTTAATAGATTCTCATGCATATTGCAGCAGCCACTCTGGCAAGTCTTCAGAAAGGGTAAGAAGGAGGACTGGGGTAACTATAGACCAGTCAGCCTCACCTCCATCCCTGGAAAGGTGATGAAACAACTTATTCTCAGTACTGTCTCTAGGTGTATCAAGGATAAGAGGGTCATTAGGAGTAGTCAATATGATTTTACCAAATGGAAGTCATGTTTAACCAACCTGATAGCCTGTTATGGATATCCAGGTGGATAGATGATGGTAGAGCAGTGGATGTGGTTTGTCTTGATTTCAGTAAAGCATTTGACACCATCTCCCATAGCATTCATGCAGCTAAACTAAGGAAGTGTGGAAGGGTAATGAGGTGCATTGTAAACTGGCTGAAGGAAAGAAGTCAGAGAGTTGTGGTCAATGGGGCAGAGTCCAGTTAGAGGCCTGTATCTAGTGGAGTTCCTCAGGGTTGGTACTAGGACCAGTGCTATTCAATATATTCATCAATGACCTGGTTGAGGGAACAGAGTGCACTGTCAGCAAGTTTACTGATGACACAAAACTGGGAGGAGTGGCTGACACACCAGAAGGCTGTGCTGCCATTCAGTGAGACCTAGACAGGCTGGAGAGTTGGGCAGGGAGAAACTTGATGAAATACAACAAGGGCAAGTGTAGAGTCCTACACCGGCAAAAGAACAACCCCATGTACCAGTACAGGTTAGGTACTGACCTCTTGAAGAGGAGTGTAGGGGAAAGGGACCTGGAGGTCCCAGTGGACAGGAGGATGACCATGAGCCAGCAATGTGCCCTTGTGGCCAAGAAGGCCAATGGCATCCTGGAGTGTATTAGAGAGGGTGTGGCTGGTAGATCAGGAGAGGTTCTCCTCCCCCTGTACTCTGCCTTGGTGAGGCCATATCTGGAATATTGTGTCCAGTTCTGGGCCCATCAGTTCAGATGCTGAAGGGAGAGGATCATCTCCCATATGAGGAAAGGCTGAGGGAGCTGGGTCTCTTTAGCTTGGAGAAGAGGAGACCGAGGGGCAACCTCATTAATGTTTACAAGGTATGTAAAGGGCGAGTGTCAGGAGGACAGAGCCAGGCTCTTCTCAGTGATGTCCAGTGACATGGGGCAACGGGTGCAAGCTGGAGCACAGGAGGTTCCACGTAAACATCAGAAAAAACTTCTTTCCTCTGAGAGTGATGGAGCACTGGAACAGGCTGCCCAGAGAGGTTGTGGAGTCTTCTTCACTGGAGACATTAAAAAACCCACCTGGATGCATTTCTGTGTGATCCTGCTTTGGCAGGGGGGTTGGTCTGGATGATCTTTGGAGGTCCCTTCTAACCCCTAACATTATGTGATTCTGTGAAGTTAAGTTGTCTTACTGTGAGCTTTATTTTGTAGTAGAGTTATTTACAGCAGCTGTGTAGATATGTGCTCTGCTTCTCATCTGCTTTGTGTGCAGGTGACTTAGACAACTACTGAAAATTGCCTGTCTGAAGAATTGGTGGTGGTGTTCTAACCCACAATTATTTGACATGGTGCTCTGAGTACCCCTTTGTAATCTCAAGGCAGTTCTTAGAAATGCAGTCACTGTGTTACTCCCCTGATTGGTGGGCATGCTCAGAGGATCCTGTCCATGCACTCTCATGGTCCTATGTTTTCAGGCTCTCATTAATTCTCCCCCAGATCTATCTGTTTTCCTTATTAGTCATATTAGAGGAGGAGAATACACTGCATTTGCCATTCTCCTTCGAGTTTAGCCTACCTTTGGAGCCACAAGCAAAAGTGGTGTGGCCAAGCATGCCTTTGTAAGAATGCTGCCTCATTGCCCTCACTCATTTTAGGACACTTCTGAAGGGGGCAGTTGCCAACCTGAGCAGCTCTGGAGAGAGATGGTATTGCTGCTTATGCAGCAATCTCCTTTTACTTAAAAATTTGAAGTACTACTTCAAGTGCTGTAATCAAGCAGGAAT